TGGGATTAGGGTTAGGTTTTAGGGGTTAGGGTTAGGGTTAAGGTAAGGGTTTTAGGGGTTTTGTTGGGATTAGGGTTAGGTTTTAGGGGTTAGGGTTAGGGTTAAGGTAAGGGTTTTAGGGGTTTTGGGGGGATTAGGGTTAGGGTAAGAGTTAGGGTTAGGGCTATCTATTAGCACTACAGTAGCATTTTTCGACAAGGCAGCATATATCGACACAATACCGGCAAAAGTGACCCCAAAGACACTCTGTCGGAGTTACTTATTTTTGACTGCACCAGCATCAGCCAGCGGCGGATTTGCGCATGCGCGATTCATTTGCAGTCTGGACGCGGAGCGGTGAACATCTCCTGCTCTGACTACAGCTGGGCTGGGCTGCTGCGCGCGGACTGTCCGCCTGTGAGCACTTTGGGACGGGAAAGGAGCCCACGGCAGCACCCGCTGCTCGGTGAGAAAAGTAAGAACGATACGTGCTTTCACGTCAGTCTCCAAAAGTCTGCAATATCACCAGAAAAAGTCGCTAGATTTGTCGCTAGTCGCTTTTGTGAAAACGACGAGTTGCTAGAGGGGTCTAAAAACTGAGGACATATAATAATAATAATGTATTTAGTTATTGATTTTGTATGTGTAATTGCCTGTCTGTTTTTATGGCTCATTTTGCTAAATGTTGTATTTTATGCTTCAAATGTTAATGGTTTGTTAATCTTGGTCCAGTCCAGGGGTAGAGGTAGGGCTGGGGGTGGGGGGAGGGAGACAGTGATAAACAAAAAATATGAAAAAAACCTGATGTACCCTGTTAAAGTGGTATCCTGTACCTGTGCAATAAAGCGAAGGTTCAAAACTTCCTTGTCAAAAGATTGTGTATAATGTAGTTTTGTCATACTGTTGTTAGTATGCAATTCGATCACTCCTGCCTAAATCCCTGAGACAAAGTTGCAGTAGGTGAACTGTCATATTGCATATACTTGCGTGAACAACATATATAAAGTGACTGGTATGACAATGCATGCGATGCAAGATTAAACAGACGCCCAAGAAAATCAACATGATATAAACTGCGTCGTCTGTAGAATTCTCATCGACATATAGTGAAGTATTATAAAATGAACAAGATACAAATATATAAACAACTAAATGGCGAATGGACACGGAGCTATCTGGAGGGTTAAGAACATATACCGAAACATTACGGTTTTACTCGTTAACAATACACACTTTAAACATCAAAGAACAAACATTGTTTAATCTAGTGAATAACACGAACATATTGAAATGAACACTTACAGTATCACTTGCGCACAAACTTCGGCTTTATGAGCGAACACCGTTAACAGTCCAGCATCAACTTCGCACACGTTTTCTCTTTACAACTAATACAGATAAGGGCTGGGGAATTACATAGAGCAACTTCCTATAGGCTAATACACTTAAATGACAGATGAGGGAGAATCGTGATTGGTTATTTCCTTCAAACGCTATTGATTAAAAGGCGGCATGAGTGCAGGGCGGTTCCAGTAGGGGTGAATAAAGCTTGCAGAGGGTGCCCATGAACTAAAAAACTGAAATCTAGGAGAAATATGCTGATCTTTATAACACATCAATTGTTCTGCATATAATGAAAAAAAGACATTTAATAAACGTGGTACAGATTTGTGATTACGGAAAACTGATAGTATTTGATTTTACAGCAGGAGTCATTCATTCATTAAGTCATCCATCCATCCATCCATCCATCCATCTTCTAGCTGTTAATGTGCCGTTAGTGTTACAACAGCGAATTTAACACAGTCAACCAAAAAGCCGTAATGTTCCTAACAGAGTGGCTACGTTTTCCTGAAATCGCAAAGCTTAAAAGTTTAATAACGCAGTATGGTATTTTATAAAATGTCGGATAGATAGACGTAGTTTTTTAGTGATTTCATGTTCATCGAAGTTTCCACTTTTTAACAGCTGCACTGTAAAAAAAAATCTCGTAAAAAAAACGGTAAAATGACAGGCAGCAGCGGCTGCCAAACAAAAACTGTAAAATTACAGTAAAATGTTTTATTTCAAATGAAGGGCAAAAACATTAAATTTACAAAAATGCCCTTCATTCTTTTGCATAAAAACACTGTTATTTTACAGTTTTTCTTAATATTATTATGATCAAGTACCTTAATTAAAAGGGCAATTCCAAAATGAATGCACTGAATGCCATATGGAATACACTTAACTACATAGATCAGCCATTGATATACTCCCTATTTTTCTGTCAAATGCTGTGCCAGCCAGATTCATAATGTTTACTACAATGGTAGGGGTGGGCACCAGACAGGTGGGGCGCAACAAACATGAGGAAAGTTGGCTTTTTATGCCAATATTATGTAATACCTCTCTTTAGTGCATAAAAAGAATAGCAACCTAAACATTTTACATAGACACACCCACAATATGCAAAAGATACGAAAAGAAAAAAAAAGTGATGATGTGGTCTCATTTTTTGACATTGTGGGGGGCGGGGGATGGACTAACACATGCATGGATGCTGAGTATATCAGTCCTCTATATTTCCTAATTCATGCTTTTGGAAGACATGGAGCTGATGATGTACATAAACGTGAGGGGCTGCTGCTGCCTCACCTGTGCAATTCCATTCTGGATAATCTTTTTAAAAGTAATTTAAAAAAACATTGGACTTAGAAGTTAAATGTCAAAGTAATGTAAAATTAATAGGATTTACCTCAAAATTACACAGAAAATGCTAAATTTTTAGTATGGTCAAAAATCTTTAAATTATGAATTACTTTTTAAACTACAGTTAAATGTTGTGATTTTACATAAATTTGTACGTAATTTGAGAAAGTGGGAAACATACAGTATAAATTAAACAATATTTTTCCTTTTAAAAATGTGAAATACGTGTTATTTTTCATTACTGGCGTTATGCGTAAAATAAAGCTTGGTTTATTAATTCAGGGATAATTTCTCTAATTTTACAGAGCTTTGCAGACAGCTTTCAAAAAAGAGAAACTACTGTAAAAAATGACGGTTATTTTCTGTAAAATTACAAATTTTTTTTACAGTGTGTATAAGGTAATGTGTTTTTATCCAAATCAACTCAGGTGAAACAAAAAATTTACGTTTTCAGAGTTGCCAGCTTTCACGCACCTGACCTGACACTCATGCTTTAAGACTCTCACGCTCAGTGGCGGCAGGTGGGTTTCAGGAGCCTTAGGCAGTGTAAAAAAGTGACCTGTGCACGTGCACGTGTGTGGGGAAGGATTTGTGTGGAAGGCAGTGGGGTTAATTAGGTGGCTACACCTGGGCGTTGTTGAATGTTGTGGTATTAAAAGAGGTAGGGCGGATAATGTGGGAGACAAGGAGGATTGGATGGCAGCTCCGAGTGGATGCGGGGCTCGAGACTCTGGGCCTCAGGTGGTTGGCAACAACTGGACTGTGAATGGTCTGGAGTCTGAGGAAGAAAGTGGAGGATCAGGGAATGACTATGGAGAAGTGAATGTGGGACACAACGGGAGTTCGGTGGACTGGACTTTAGTGAGAAGGAATAAATGCAGACAGGGATAACTGATGAAAGCGGGAATGACGTGAACTTGAGTAAGGTGAAAAAAGAGTAGGGAAGAGTGCAAGGTATTTATCAAACTGGTGGATGGAACTGCTTTTGACGACTGGAGTCCAGTTCAGCTAACCAGAGCTTTACACAAGGAAATAGGAGAGACACGGAGCGCGAAAAAACTGAGGAGCGGAATATTGTTTCTGCCGCTCTTAGTCACCAAGCGAAGTCCCAAGTGTCTTGAACACAGATGTTTATTTACAGTGCCTAAGCACCGCCGTAAACACCGTAAAACTAAAGATACAGGACAAATACAAAGAAAATACATCAATTACATATTCGCTAAAAATGACATACAAACAACGATAAAACTCAAAGTACAACGTACCACTTTGCCTGCTTGTGAGCTAAGAGGGTAGTTTGAAGCTAAAAATCCTTACTAAATTATTCCTTTAGAAGAAATTAATCAAAATCAGACAAATCTACTGAAAAAATGGAACTAAATGGATACAATTTAAAACAAAGATTTACAACTGTCAGCACACTCCCACCATCACACAATGTGTGATTCTTAACAGAACCTGAGTTATTAAATTAAGTACTTTGACAGGAACATTATACAAAAAATTATACAAAAATATCTCAATGGATGACCACACTTATACTGCGTAAGGCAATTTTTATGCTTAAATTTAATCAGCTTCAAGTAATAGTACCGTCTTATGTATTGGTCTTTCAAGATGAACAGGTTTACTTGTGCGTGTGCCCTTACTATCTAGTGTTATGTCACTCATCAGCAGTTTAAGCCTTCTGACCCTTCCATCACTCCCTGGGAAGACTTCAACCACCTTGGCCATCTTCCATTGATTCCGTGGTAGAGCATCATCCTGAAGTAGGACAATGTCATTTATTTTAGTGTTTCTTTGGTTCTTGTTCCATTTACTTCTCTGTTGCAAATTTAAAAGGTATTCTTTCCTCCACCTAACCCAGAATTAATTTGCTAGAAGCTGAACTCTTTTCCATCTCTTCTGAAGATAAAGATCTTCCCTCACGAACTGTCCAGGTGGTGGTGCAATAATTGAGGATTTCATCGTCAATAAGTGATTCGGTGTTAAGGGTTCTGGTCCTGTCGGATTATTAAGGTGTTCTGTAGATAATGGTCGGCTGTTCACGATGGCCATCACTTCATACATGAACGTTCTTAGTGAGGAGCTGTCCAGTCTTCTGGCAGACTGGTCTAAGATTGCAGTTAGGACGCTCCGTACAGTCCGGATCTGTCACTCCCAGACACCGCCCATATGACTGGAAGCAGGTGGGTTCATAACAAAGTTGCATCCCAACTCCTTCACACGTTCTGGTGACATTCCCCTCATCAATTCCAAGAATTCATTCCTTGCACCTACAAAATTGGTGCCTTGGTCGCTTTGGAGTTGGCTTACATTGCCGCGAATAGCGACAAAGCAGCGAAGCACATTTATGAAGGCATCAGTACTAAGGTCATCCAATACCTCCAAATGGACAGCCCTTGAGCACATGCAGGTGAATAATAGCCCATATTTCTTCAGCTCCTTTCTCCCATCCTTAACGTAAAATAGCCCAAAGCAGTCCATTCCACTATAAGTGAATGGAGGGGTGGCTTCCATTCTTTCTGGTGGTAGATCAGTCATTTTTTGTTCTTGATTACCCCTTCTCAACTTCCTGCACTTAATGCATTTATAAATGAGGGATGACACTTCATTGCTGCATCCTAAAACCCAAATTCCATTGGAGCGTACTTCATTAATGGTCATTCCACGACCTTGGTGCTTGACCCTTTCATGGCAGTGTTTTATAAGCAACCGAGACACGTGATGTCC